CCTTTTTGGGACCATGATCATGTAACCGCCACAGTGGTGAGGCACCAGAAGATAGCGTCATACCCTGCGTCCCAGTGGAGGGTATGAAACGAATCTTTAAATACCCTAAGAAATTTAGACCCCAAAGATCTTGCCTCCTTTCCTATTGGGTACTAAAGTTGGCAGAGGAGGTAGAAGAGGCTCTCTTAGTATCTTTACCACCCTCAAAGGTTCAGGAGGGAGAGGCTTGGGAGAAGGTGTTCTATGTGGCAACCATGAGTTGTGAAATTCCATCTCCAGAATAAGGCACATTTGGCATCTTCATTGTATAGCTTTCATCAAATGCTAAAGACACACCTCTTTATCCTGACATTGTGCACCCTATTCTGACCACAAATGCTTTTAACTAAGTTTAATTTTTGAGATTGGCATAACCTGCTCTAGGACCTTATAGCAAAGGACAGGTAAGAAATCTGGTTCAAATCTTGCAAGAGGGAACAATATTAATATTTGCTAGTATCTTATTTATTGAATGTATTATACTGCCCTTCATCCAGGAAACACAGTGCGGTTCACCATATAAAAGCAAAAAAGTACACAGCATAATAACAAACAAAACAACTCCTCCCAGTTTCATAGGCCTTAGCAACAGACAGAGGGTAACAAACAACTAAATCATATTCCAGTTATACTCAAAGTAGACTCATTTAAGTCAAATGATTAATCTGACTACTGTTATCAATGAATAACAACCTGGATCCTATACAGGTCATTTTCCTCAAAGCAAAACTGAAACCAAAAAAGGCATCAACTTCTTTAGAATATCTAGAAGTTGTGTTTTTGACTAAGCCATTCATATAGGCATAAAAGTATGCAAAAAAAATTCCATAAAGTCTTCTGACTGTATTCTTGATTTTTAACAGTCTTTCTATTTATTTTCTGCCAAAGTCACAGAGGAGAAATATCTGCATATACATATCCACACACACACACACATATATATATTCATCTCAGATATAAAATCCATGTGACTGGTATCTTCTGTAAGGAAAATAAGATTCATTAAAACAAGTTACAACTTGCCTGTGAATAGTGATTTGCAATTTGGGAGCAATTTCCTTTGAAATCATTAAAACTTTACAGCCAAAGTATTTTACTCTCCTTGAAAAATTGGCTTATTACTTCATCATCAGAGGGCGGGGGCAGTAAAATTTTGAAAGAGACTTGTTAATGGCCTGGGGAATGACATTAAAAAAAAAAATCTTCCAGCGTTTCTCCAGCTGTAATTGATAGCAGTAAAGTTGATGTGGCATACAATTAAAACAAGATAAAAAGTATAGTTAGATCTCTTCGAAGTTTGCGGTGCCAAATTGCTTAGAAACTTTTGTGCCTCCTGAAATATGTTGGAACGATTCTTCTTTCCATCTGAAATGTAGGAAGCTGTCTTATAAATGGCCAGATCATGCCCTTTTTTACACACATTTCCCCTTACTTTTTAGGAAGGAAATAGAGAGTCTTATAGAGCAAAAAATACGGTATGTAGAGGTCATTTGTCCAAAGTCCTGCTGAATACAAGACAAAGACTGTAGGATGCAACTTTTGATATTATATAACTTATTACATATTGTTACTGTAATTAGACTTTCACCTTTGTGTGAATTGCTTTGGGCACAGATTTAAGGGTAGAAAAGGTGGTGTATGGATTAACTGGTAATGACAATAATTCTTCATTTACAAGTTGATCCTTAGATGCAGCAGCGCCTGTCCTTCGGAACTCCCTGCCTATTTAGGCTACATTGTTTCAGATGCCCGCCGAAAACTTTTTCATTTCTTCAAACCCACCCAGACTTAGAATTTGGTTATCGAGATTCATTTTATAAGATTTACTAATTTTAATTATGGTTTTATCTATACCGGGGTTTTCATTGGTTTCCGAAATTTAGCCGTGTTTTAGCAACAATTTTATTTGTACACCACTGAGAGAGTGCTTTGATTAAGCAGTTTATAAATTCCAGAACTAGCCAAAGTACCAAGTCAGTCACTGTACTCTGCACATGACAGCTTCCTGCAGCTACCATCTTATCAGGATTTGATTTCTGCAGACTATACGGATTAGGCTTTTAGTGTTGTGATATCTACCTTTAGAAATTCCCTCCCATTAAATATTAGACAGGCACCCTATCTGTTGAGTGTCGAGGTCCCAAGGCCCACCCCAATAACTCACACATCACACAGAAATTTTTGTTTAAGATTTTTGGCATAATTTTGGCCAAAATACAAATTTGTGAGTGGTTGCGTAGGCATTGGTTGCGACTATCTGCCCCCACCATGGGGGACAGACTGACATTCCGCATGATGCGAAAGTCAGAATGGGGGAATACACTTGGGGGTTACGCGGAGCAGGGAACCTGCCCTCACCCCAAATGCAACCAGGAGCTCATTGCTATGGCCCGAGCCCCCTTGACAGAGTGGACAAGCAATAGTTAGCTCCCAATTCCTTTAACAGAATCCCTTGCAGCAGCAGCATTAGAGGGGCAGGCACAGCCAATCCATGCCCCTCAACCAACCAAACCATAAACCAATGCCTAACCGCAAACCTTACAAGTTGTGACGATTTGCTACACAGTAGGCAAAAACCAAATGGCCCCAGCCAATCAACCAGATGGACAAAATTCCTACCAGGCCCCCGCTCCAAAGCAGACGACCCCATGACAGGGATAGCAAGGTCAAAGCGAACAACCCTATTCTAGGGAGGGAGGGACGGGCAATCCGGTGCACGTGCGAAAAGAGGAAGCCCTAGCCTCGTGCAAGGAGTTTTACTATTTCTGGCTGTCAATCAATAAATGGCAACATTAACTTCTTCCCAACAACAAGGGAAGCCCCAATCGCATCAGTGGCGAACGATCAATTAGCCCGCCCCCCAACTTTGGAGTGTCCTGGCGGCCCCCACCGCAACACGTGCTCTCCATGAAGGAGAACACGCTTTGTCTTTTCTGAGCCTACTGAAAAACCTTCCTCTTCCAACAAGCCTTTCAAGTAGATTTCATGCCAGTTTACCTCAGCCTTAGGATTGTTTTCAGATGTTTTTCTTTTTAGATAGTTTCACTGTTTTCTTGCTTGTGTGTTTGCCTCCCTCGAGACCTTTGGGATGAAGGGAAATGAAAGTGAATAATAACAATAATACTCCCAATGTGGCCTGATCAATGCAGAAAAAAGTGGAACCATTCCTTTATCACCAAGTTGCCAAAGATTGTCCCTGAACCATCTGCATGCAAAACGTGTTTCCTGCCATTGCGCTATCATCTGCTGCAGATTGTTTGAAGAGCCAGATTGCAAGATATTTCTTCACTGGTCTAGCCCATGCGCATGGAGAAACATAGAGACATAGAATTGTAGAATTGAAAGGGACCCCAAGGGTCTTCTACTCCCTTCTGCAATGCAGGAATCTCAGCTAAAGTATCCATGACAGGTGGCCATCCAACCTCTGCTTAGAAACTTCCAATGAAGGAGAGACTACAACCTCCCGAGGGAGTCCATTCCACTGTCAAACCGCTCTTACCGTCAGAAAGTTCTTCCTAGTGTTTAGTCGGAATCTCCTTTCTTGCTAGTGTTCCTTTCTAGTGTTTAGTCGGAATCTCCTTTCAAACTGTTCTTCTTCTTCTTCTTGCAACTTGAAGCCATTGGTTCGGGTCCTACCTTCCAGAGCAAGCTTCATGGCTGAGTGTGGCTTTTATCCCTGGTCTCTTGGGCCCTAGTTTTGCACTGTATCCATTGTACCACACTGGCTCTCTACATATGCCATTGGAGTTCACTGTAGCTACACCAGTGTGGTGTAGTGGTTAAGAGTGGTGGACTTGTAATCTGATGAACCGGGTTCACTTCCCTGCTCCTCCACATGCAGCTGCTGGGTGACCTTGGGCCAGTCACACTTCTCTGAAGTCTCTCAGCCTCACTCACCTCACAAAGTGTTTGTTGTGGGGGAGAAAGGGAAAGGAGAATGTTAGCCGCTTTGAGACTCCTTCGGGTAGTGATAAAGCGGGATATCAAATCCAAACTGTTCTTCTTCTTCTTCAGTTCCTTTTTAATACCCTCTCTCTCTGTATCTCAATCTCACACACATCCTCTATATTACCAATGCATGTGCATCAATATTCCATTTTTGTTCGCCCAGCGTGGTGGTTGTTTTCCACCAATGTGCAGGACTGTATGTGTATATCCCTGTTGCATAAAAGAATCCCGATGCAATTGTATGCATAATTCCCTGAAGATTGCCTCTTTTTCCCTTTCTGTTTTTGCAGTGTTTTATTCATGTGGAAATATGAACTGGTGACAGAGATTGGGGTGGGAGGGATGCAAATGCGCTAGAGAAACTGTAAGATGAGATAAATTCTGAATGCTCCAGTTCTGATATTTATTTTAGCAGTTCTCCTAGATAAACTGGAATACAGTGGTATCTCGGGTTACATACGCTTCAGGTTACAGACTCCGCTAACCCAGAAATATTACCTCGGGTTAAGAACTTTGCTTCAGGATGAGAACAGAAATCGTGCTCTGGTGGCGCAACAGCAGTGGGAGGTCCCATTAGCTTAAGTGGTGCTTCAGGTTAAGAACAGTTTCAGGTTAAGAACGGACCTCCGGAACGAATTAAGTCCTTAACCTGAGGTACCATGAGGAATGCTAACACACAGCCCCAGCTCACGCATCAGTCTCTGCATCAAGATTTCAGTGTGTGATGCTTTTCTCTGAGCTCATGAAAGATAATATATGTTCATTTTAAGTTTCATAGTTTAATAGCTGTGGGAGGGGGGAAACTTACTTCCAAATAGCCAGGAAGTGTCCATGACAGAGCGGAACTTATTAAATATTCTCAGTAGAAAGTGAAATATATCAAGCAGTTCATGAGCCTTAATTGTGATTACACTTTATTGCTGCTTAGACGATTAAGTACTTAAATTAGCAGGTAACAGGATCTATACTCTTAATAGCATCAGAGCTAATCATGACTTCACTCTGTATTTCAGCCCAGTTCCAACAATCTCATGGAGGAAGGTGAATGGCCCCAATCCAAGCAAAGCCCGCCTGCGGAAATCCCAAGCGGTTCTTGAAATTCCAAATGTGCAGCTGGAAGATGCAGGGACATATGAATGTAAGGCCGAAAACTCACGTGGAAGGAATGTCTTCAGAGGACAGCTGCAAGTATACAGTATGTTGTTGTTGTTGTTAATCATTTTGCTTAATACTGAATGAGCTTCTAAGCAGCTTACAGGTGTAAATAACACAATTACACAAACATCAAAATAGAAACATTGCACAATTAAAATTCACAATAAGACAACCCCATTAAAACATTAAAATATAAACATGTTATTATTAAAATATGCAATGATCCAATTAAAACAAGACACTATTTCAAACAGGAAACTGGTTGGATGCCTGTGTAAACAGGCCTGCCTTCAGAAGCCGGCAGAATGCCAATACAGATGGGCTATTACAAATTTCAGCAGAAGTTAAGACTGAACAATCTCACCATATGCACGAAGTTTATCTTATGAATATAGCAAAATTGTTCCGTCTTAACTTCTGGCTGCAAATCAGTGACTAGTCAGAAACCAAATGTACCAGACTGTCCCTACTCATGTGTGAGTCCAACTGAGTTCATTGAAGCTTTCTGCAATCTGACCAGGAGGAGGTCTGCACAGAGCTAGTTTCAGTCATCTGAGAACTGTGGCCTACTTAGGGCCAGTACACTCTCCTAATTTATTGCACAAATCTTACAAGGAGGTTACACCATGAGTAATATCCGGCTAATATTTACTCAGAATAGACCCATTCCAATTAATGATCATGACTAATTTAGGCCCAGTGGGTCTACTTTGACTAAAAATTAGTTGGACACAACCACATATCTAGAGCATTTCCCCCCCTTATTTGTTTGCAACAGCAAGCATCTATCCTGAATTCACCCTGATTTGCTTGTGCGGTGCTTATACATCTTTCTGTTAAACATTTGTTAATCCCACAGTATTCAGGGCATTTCCCCATCTCTTTTCTATCTATGAAAATGTGTTGTGTTTTTTAAGTGGCTATGTTGCACCAAGGCAATAGAGCATTTTAATCCATTTTATTTGCACAAACTTCAGTTTCCAGTATGTGCCTGAATCTCTCTTCCAAAATCTTAAGGACCTGGAAATGACCTTGGATTGCATGCTTTCTTAAGGCTCTTATTACATACAGTGACCTTATTCAATGTATTGAATGACCTGAGATATTTATATATATATATAGATGCATAAAAAGGTAAAGGTACCCCTGCCCGTACAGGCCAGTCTTGCCAGACTCTAGGGTTGTGCGCCCATCTCACTCAAGAGGCCGGGGGCCAGTGCTGTCCGGAGACACTTCCGGGTCACGTGGCCAGCGTGATATTGCTGCTCTGGCGAGCCAGAGCCGCACACGGAAACGCCGTTTACCTTCCCTCTTGTAAGCGGTCCCTATTTATCTACTTGCACCCAGGGGTGCTTTCGAACTGCTAGGTTGGCAGGCGCTGGGACCGAACGACGGGAGCGCACCCCGCCGCGGGGATTCGAACCGCGTACCTTTCGATCGGCAAGCCCTAGGCGCTGAGGCTTTTACCCTCAGCGCCACCCGCGTCCCATATAGATGCATAGTAAGTGCCAGAAACAAATTAGTTAGCAGTATTATTGCTCCATCCCTAATATTCTCACCCCACCCATAATTTACATGGCTAAATCAGATAACGATAGTTTTGACCATTGCTTTTGAGTGCACTAACCTCATTTTCAGAGAATTATGAGGGGTTTTTAGCTTCAAAAACAAGCCTTGGCTATAAGAGCCTGGCATTGCTACAGGTTCCTTCCTATAGGTTCACAGACTTACAGTTAAACAACCATCTTTTCCACACCATCCCTTGAAGAGCTTCAGACAGGGTACTGGGATTCAACCTGTCATTCTGGGGAATGCTCTGATTTGCAATTCATCCTTAGGTACTAGCTTTCCTGTCTGCCTTAATCATGCTCAGTTTGTCAGTTGAATTTGATCCAGTTCACCATGGATGCTTTGGGGAATGCCCAAGAATGCACAGAGTCAGCCTGTCTGCTCTCATGCAATCACAGGCCGATTTGATTCCCAGCTTACCCAATGCTGACAACCAGGTGTACCATGATTGCCTGATACAGCTGACACTCTGGAAACAATCACTGCTTCTGTCTCGGCCACTTGGCTTGACGTCCAGCCCTGCAAGTGACAGAAGACACTTCATGTTCGATTTGGCCAGGCCCAAGATGCTTCGCAGGTTTCTCGTTTTCTGGGTTATTTTTCTCCTCTTTAAAAAACTGTGTTTTACTCCTCCCATGTCATTTTAGTCGCTTGCAATTTGTCGTGAACTTGTTGCTGTTGCTCAGCCCAGCATTCTAATTGATTTCATGGCCCGCTCAGGGTGCCTCTCAAAGTTTATGTCTCTGGGGAATCACTTCCACATTGACCTTTCGGCTGAGGGATGCCTGAGTGTGTCAGAAGAGACTGGGGGGGGGTTTTAA